TTTCCGTTAAAATACAGTTTTCTCCTCAGACTGTGCACCCGTCCGGTAACTCGCATTTGTCACACACACACCTTTAGAAATAGCGCTTCGTCGGAGCGAAGGGCTAACGCTCGAAACGTCAGCTTTCGAATCCCTTTACGGTGGCCAATTCAGTTGATAAAACCAAATTATCATTTAATACTCCCACCGACGCAACACCACAGTTTCTTTAGAAACTTACCCTCTTTATTCGTAAATATTCAAAGGTTTGGCCTAACTCTTTAATACTCGTTCTACTCAAGGCTATCTGGGAAAAAGATAGAAGACTTGCAAAAACACAGCCAAATAAAAGTGTTTCTCTTTCATGGTGTAGCGACATATTCTGTTCAATAAAAACGTCTTTAGTCAGTGTTTAGTGAAAAATCAGTGTACTCTAATTTAAGTGTACAAAGAAGGAAGCAAATCTACAGACTATCAACTTTGGTTGACGAGATAGCTGAATGCTTATACGAAACATTAGACGCTTCTATTCACTTCTGGGAAGGAGTTTTTCAGTAATAATCTATCACTCTGAGCCTATGTACACAGTTGTTAAGTAAACTGTATGATGCAGTAAAAAACAGAGTTCTGAGAGTTTTATTGCCCAAACGTGATCTTTGAAGTTTAATGTGTTATTGTCCGACCATTTTGCAGAACTCTTGCATTGGGATGCTGGCTAACATGGTTTTAAACTCCGTCGGCAACTAAAAAAGAACCAAAGTAATAAACTCCGTTTTAAAAACTGTATGTATTAGACATACGCTCATCTACTTAGTACATTTATAAATCAAATGGTTACTTTAGTACAAGAAAAAAGAAGTGCCATTAGTAGCAGCTTTTAAGAGGTGCAAGTTTTTCAGAGATTTTTCAAGGGCCAGTTGAGGAGAGGAGCGCAATAAAAGGGTCTGGATAGGTTTGTTTAGGGAATCTTAGTTATCAGTTGAATTGTGGGCGATTTCTCAGTTATCAGTACTGAATGTTGCAGATTTCAGCTATTTGTCAAAGACGCTTCGATAATTAAACATTTGGACCAATTCTCAGTATCATGTAAACCCTATCCAAGTCCTTCAAACATATTAGAGGGACTGGGTTAACTTTAAATCTATAAACCAGCCATAACTCGTTTCCAAATTGCCTTACGCATTTTACTCAAGAAACGCACTGCTGTCGAAAAATAGGCCATTTTATAGTTGCGTGCTTAGTTACCTGGCCATGAATGCAAGCGAGGCTGGAGTTGACCTTGCTTTGATACAGACCTCTTAGCTTTTCTCATGTAAATGCCAACTAGTTAGCATAAGAACAACTTGATTTGCACAAGAAAAGCAGTGAGGTTTGTATCAAAACAAGGTCAACTCCAGCCTCGCTGCCATTCAGAGGCCAGGTCACTAAGTCGACAAATGTAAAATGGTCTATTAGACGAATAATTTTAATTCTGGATCCCATCTTTTTCTTTTTACTGTAGGAGTATCCAAATCCTAAACCAACCTGTGTAGTCAACTGTTCCCATACCTTTTCAGAAAGAGATCTCTGGTTATCTCTTCACCCCACTTCGAAACACTCAGTCAAAACATGATAGAGATACGAGAATATGTTGTTACTGCACACACTGTCTGATAACGTAAAATGTGCGAGAAAAAGAAAAGCATATATGGACGCCCGTTACTTATAGTTTTGAATATCATCTCGGCAAAATTCCTGCAGCATTGGAGGTGAGTAAAATGGCCTAATTATTTTGGTGAGGGGTTCCTATCTTGAAAAGAATTTTTGTTTTAACCTCTCCATTACAGCAAGGAATATATGATGGAATATGGAAACAGAATTATTTGGCAAATACATGGTTTACTTACTCATTTCTTCTGATCAAAGTACAGGGTGACGTCATCTCCAATCAGCACAAAAGGCGTCCAGTATTTCACATCACTGTACTTGTCTGATTCTCTAAGGTTTTTCATGGCCAGGTTTAGGGACTCACTTGCACGTCTCCCTTCAATAAGGTGATGGTAGAAACTTTCCATAAATTTCAACGTGGCCTCGTCATCAATCGCCCAGAGTGAGACCAGAGCAGAACGAGCACCAGCACCCATAAAGGCACGTGCAATACCGACCACACCTTCATCCTTGATCTCTCCTCGACCACTGTGGCAACAGCTGAGAACAACCAATCTTGCTCGTAGTTTAACATTCAGCACATCGGCTATTGTCAAAATGTAGTCTTCTTTCGTAGGGATCCGAGATCTTCGCTTTGGGTCCGGGGTTAGAGCAATTTCACCAGTTTCCATGCGACCATGTGTTGCAAAGTGAACCAAAGCGACAGAACTGAGTTCTTTCAACACCTCACGTTTCGTTGCTTGTTTCCCAGTTATAGGTGTTACGTTGAGAATCCGTCCGATCATTTCCACTTCTTTTCTGGCAAACGGAAGCGGATCTAGGATTCTTTCTCCCTTGCTATTGGTAACTTCTTCAACCCATGGATCTCCCACAAGTAGTGATCCACTTCTACTGTGGTATTCCTTAGAGCAATCAGCAATCAGCTTTAAGCTTGTCAAGGATGGAACTACCCGGATTCTAAAAGAGTCACACAGGTATTTGGAATCAGCGTCCATAAGCGCAGCGTACGGAGCCAGCCACAAGGGTCCATCTGGGACAATGATAAGCTCATTGCCTTGAACCAGGTCAGCAACTGGCTCAATTATGTTGTTCTACAAAGTGTTCAAAAGAGACTCAAGTGGGATGGAAGGCTGGGAGCTTTCATCTTCAAACTTCACATCTTCCGTGTGATCATATTTCCTCAATGCATCTAAAGATCGATCCTCGCATCTCGCCTCAGAACGAACACCAACTTGTTTATAGGATTTTTGCACTATAGACCTGAAATAGGCGGCGGTATCTTGCAATCCATGGGCAATCTCCTTTTGTCTCAAACATACAGGTTTCCCTTTCAAAAGAACCCAGAGATTGATCCTTTTTTTGTCGAGAGCCTGAAAGACACTGCAAGATGAACCGTACTGTGACATATCAAGTTCATGTTTTTCGGTTTCTGTACTTGACTCACCCTGATTTGCTTGTATTCCAAATTGAGACTCCATAAGATCAGTAAGAGCTTGCGCTCTTCCTTTCTCAGCAGCAAACAAAGCTTCAGTAATCTTGTCTTGTTTCAACAGAACCCTCCATAAAGCTTTGTAAGATTTGTTAAATACATCTCGAAATCCAATTTTCCATTCATCTTTGGATTTAAGAAGGCTTCTCACATGATTGAATGATCTTACACTAGACTGGTAATATTCTAAGGCTTCAGGTAGACGACCAAGTGATTCAAAGCTGACGCCCAGCCCATCATAAGCAAGTGCTTCCCTGGCTTTGTCCTCTACTTCCTTGGCAATTTCAAGGTCCAGCTTATAGTAGTCAATGGCTTTATTGTAATCACCGAGCTTGCCAAAAGCAAGGCCAAGATTTCCATACGAAACGCCCTCTCCAGCCTTGTCTCCAACTTCTTTGGCGATACTAAGAGATAGGGTGTGGTAGACTATGGCGTTTTGCACATCACCAAGATTGTGAAAAGCATTGCCAAGGTTGCCATACGCTGTTCCTTGGCCAGCCTTGTCTCCAACTTCCCCTGCTATTTTCAGATGGAGCTTGTGGTAATCAATGGCTTTTTTGTAGTCGCCGAGACTGAAAAAAACACTACCAAGATTCCCATAGGCTCCTCCTTTTGCAGCCTTGTCTCCCACCCTCTCAGCGAACTTAAGATGCAAGCTGTGAAAGTCTCTGGCCTTTTTGAAGTCCCCGAGGCTGTAAAAAGCATGGCCAAGATTACCGTACGCCCTGCCCTCGCCCATCTTATCTTCCACTTCTTGGGTAATCTCAAGATGAAGTTTGTAATAGTCTATGGCTTTCTTAAAATCCCCAAGATTTCGAAAAGCATTGCCTAGATTGGCGTATGCATGCCCTAGTCCGATCTTGTCACTGCTTGCTTTTGCAATATTGAGACGTAGGGTGTGATAGTGTATGGCTTTTTTAAAGTCACCCAGACTTCGGAAAGCATTGCCAAGGTTATCGTATGCTTTTCCTTCGCCAGCCTTGTCTCCTACTTCTTTGGCGATTGCAAGATGTAAGTTGTTGTTGTCTATTGCCCTCTTGTAGTCACCGAGACAGTGAAAAGCATGGCCAAGATTGCCATACGCAGCTCCTTCCCCAGCTTTGTCACTCAGTTCTTTTGCAATTTTAAGATCACGATTGTGGTATTCTATGGCTTTTGTGAAATTACCTCTTGCCTGTAAAGCACAGCCAAGATTAGCATACGCACGCCCTTCCCCAGCTTTGTCTCCCATTTTTTTGGCAATGTTAAGATGCAGTTTGTGATAGTGCTCTGCTTTGATGAAGTCACCACGATTGTGAAAACAAATGCCAAGATTACCGTATGCACGTCCTTTTCCGATCGTGTTTTCCACTTCTTCAGCAATTGCAAGATCTAGCAGATGGTATTCTACAGATTTTTTTAAGTCGCCGAGTGCAAGAAAATCGTTGCCCAGATTCCCATATGCATGTCCTTCTCCAGCCTTGTCCTTCAATTCTCTGGCAATATTAAGCTGTAGGTTGTGATAGTCGATGGCCTTCTGAACATCACCAAGGTTACCCCAAACTATACCAAGATTATTGTAAACACGGCCTTCTTCAGCCCTGTCGCCCATAAGTTTTGCAATGATGAGACATTGATTGAAGCGGTTTATTTCTTGCTCACCTCTTGTGAGAGTTTTAGATTTTGTAGGGTTTAGTGGGGACAACTCCGCTGGTCGTAGCAGTGCTCCTTCCTTTCGCATAAAGCATGAAATTACTTTAGTAATCGAGTAAAACTTCATTATTTTTAAAGCTTATATGTTTCGTAACTATGTGTAAATATGACAGCCGAGTGAGCAACTTCATTATTATAGCTGGAGGCATATAATAGTTTAACCGATCGAGACTGGCGACCGCACTGGATTAAATCAACTTTCAGTAAATGTTACTCAGCTATATCGTAAGCTTGGATTTGCAGGATCTTCATCCCTGTAAACGTTTCCTCTCAGTTTAGCATTCCTAAATAAACTACTTTCAAGCAAAGAACCTCTTTGTCAACTCTCGCGTGCTCATATCTTATGAAAATCTCTGAATAATAAGGGGCAATTTATGAGAAGAAAGGTTTTGTAGCAAAGACGAGAATGTCCTATGTGCAACACCCAATTTCATGGGGAAATCACATGGAGTCAGCTTTATTAACGATTACTATCAGACACTTCAGTGACGTAAATACAGTCGAATCTCCCGTAATGTCAAGCCTAGGTGGTCTCTTACGAGAGTTTACAGCATATTGGGTCAAACGTTTGCCTCATTAGAATATGGTAACTGCAAAGAGTTACTCCATGCACCAATACCGATGCAATGTTTTACTCATGTGAAAAGTCAATTTCGTGAGAAAAATACGGTTCTTCCCATTGAGAAATTTCCGCCTACCCGCAGGAATATGATGATGTTACAATACGTTATTATTCAATTTCCTCTCTATTATCTGTCAAGTGCCGCTTAAGGGAGGTTGAAAACAAAAGAAAATGTCAAACTTTTATTTCTAGAAGGGGTCGCGGTCTGATAAGAGAGGTGGTCGCTTACAAGAGGTTCCATATAGTGATTTGACAAGGAAGCATTTGCACGGTATTTTGGAAAACTCGTCGCTTATGAGAGGTGTTCGCAACCGGAGGTTTGACTGTATTTGAGTTTCAACTTACCAAGCCTTTCACCGTCAGAGGCTCGATCACTTCGTTTTGCTCATTGACCGACCTAGCCCTTAATTCCAACAAAGTCTTGTTACTTTTATCAAGCTTCTTTAAGTTAAGATGTATAACAGTGTGTTACATATCAGAGCCTGAGGTCTTTTCTGAAAACGTTGCCGAATTATTTTCCAAGTCAGATAAGTTATTTGCTATTAGAATTTACATTACTTTTGGAAAACCTTTAAATAGAAACTCAACTTTAACTAGAAGCTCAATATTCTTGATGCTAATGTACAGACATCAACCACTGTGATGTGAACTCTTAAGAAGAGGTGTCTTCAAACGTGTTTCAAGATGAAAAATGAATTAACATTTATGTGGTATAGACCAAGCGTGAGGTTAGTGAGTTTAAGATGGCTGGATATTGGCAGTGTCTTGTTGTGTGTGTGTGTGTTTTTTATTTGTTCGCCACCTTGATATAATACAATATCAGTTTACAAAGATATGTTAAAAAAATGGCAGGAAAGCCCAAAGAAACCATGAGGCTTATGCATCGTGGGCTTTCCATACTAAATAACTACAGATGAACCACTAGATAAACTGAGCGGCAAAGGCAGAATAATAATAGTGAAACGAAAAGGGGGTGGAGGGAAAGGAACAAAGTGAGAAGTAGTTTCTTCAGATTTTCTTAAAAGTTGACACACTTACTGAACTTACAATGTCTGGACTAAGCGAATTAAAAAACAAGGCACCTTGGTGTTGAAACGAGAAACGTCTTATATTAGTTCTGCACTTAGGAACATGAAAAGAACTGGCACTCTTCCTATCATAATCATGAACCTGGTTCCTTCGTAGAAATGTGTTATTAAACACATCTGGTCACAGATTTGGTTTATGGACCGAGACTCTCGGTCCATAAACTATCACTGAAAACAAGAACGAGGTCAACATCTAGCCATTTTGACTAATGAAGCTTAGACGATGAACGATTTATTATATGGCTTTCGGGGAAATTTTTCTTCCGGGACACAGCGCGTAGTCCCTAGCAGGCAAGATAGCCCCATCTTACCCGCTTGACAGCACAGGAGTGGTGGGTGCATCTTGCTCGCTTATGGAGCTAGCCATATAATAGGGCGAATTACAAGCTAGATAATGAAATGACAAATAGTGTAATGCTTATCATATCACAAGCGTTACCCAAACAATAGCGAAACATTAATGGGACTCAGATTCAAATCTGTGATGCCATTGGGAACTCGTGCAGATATCTTTCAAAGGATACAGCTAGTCCCTTGTCGCACCACGTGATGGCTTCTTCAAACCGACTCAGCTGAACACAGGCATTCGCTCCTAGCGACAGAATCGTAAATAAACTTGTAAATATTCCGTGTGGTGCTATATGAGTTATATAAGTATGTTAAATTAAACCACCTACCTATGCTATTTCAAGAGTTTGGGCTGAAAATGGGTAAAAAATATTTCCATTTTGTACTGAAATTGGGTGTGATTTTGCATTCTGTTCTGAACTTGAACTTAACTTAAAGAAACCACATAAAACGCACCAGGCACTATTCACAGGACTATGATCCATAATTGCAAACGAGGATACTTTAAATACCGTATTACACGTCAGATACGCAGACGGTCAGGTTAGAAAATGAATATGAAACATGACTTATTTTAGTAAGAGTCAACATTAGTAGAAGAAGGTCACCTAAATTTAACCCCCAGCGCAACATTTCTTGGATTTTTTAGTTATCTATCAACTTGAAATCGACAAAAGTAATTACAAATTTACCACCGTAGCAACTTACTGAGGAAACCCGTTTGCTCGGACGAAGCGCTGATGCTCAAACCGTCAGCCTCAATAACTTTCTATGGGGGTCAATTTACCTTCATATTGATAAATTGCTAAGTGTGTTACTTGCCCAATGACCCCAGTTTGCGAGCACCACCGCTTGATGTACGTTTCAAGGAGCCACATCGAGGTTGTTTTTGTTAATACCTTATCCTGACGATGTCCTCATTGTCAAAACGGGAGCACGATACAGAACGCTTGTTTATAAAAAGCCTACCTCTTACGATCGCTTTGAGGAAAGTTGGTTGTAATTCTGTGGCTGATTTTGCGTCACTGAGTGACTCATGATATTTTCCTGTAAAGCAATACGTTAAGAAATAATGATATACCAGTTTGTAAGATCGAATAAGCTTATAAGACGAGCAGAAATGCACAATTCTCTGCGAAAAATCGCAGCAACTGATTTGCCATTGACATTCGTTCAGGCTTTTTGAGGATTAAAGAGACAGAACAAGCCAAAACGCCAGTAACAGCATGAGTCGCAGTCTATCTATCTTTAGTGAGGCACGCTCCACTACTGGAAATGTCCAGAACACTGTGACAGAACGTTCAAGGGACATCAGTATGATTTTAACGAATATTAGAATCTTTCAGATCTATTCCGTGGTTTATTGATAATGGAATGCTATGACTACCAGTCTACTTCAACTGTGTTTGCCTGAGAATCTTATAGCAAATACTTTTCTTAAAAAATTTAAATTCTGAACAATTTGTGAATATATAGCAAGATAGCTACTGCAGTATTGCTTTGACCAAATAAATCTGAGGGATGTAGCTCAAACGGTTCAGTGGCGTTTTTAACTTTTCATAGTTGTATTTGTGTATAAATGTTTACGCGGCTTTTCAAGGTTTCTTCTCTTTGTAATCAAAATGCTATGCATGCTCGTTTCTAACATGGCAAAAGAAATTTAAACATTCTTACCTAAATAAAAATTAGCAATCGCTCTGTTACTGTACAGCTTGGCGTTCAATTCTTTATCCTTGCAGTTCACTTTGATTCCCTCCGTGTAAAAGTGAATGGCATTCGCAAAATCTCTTTTTCCGTATTCTTCATTTCCTTGATTCTTGTAAACCTCAGCTATTGCTAAAATGAAAATGGAACGAGATCTCTGTAAATTGCAATAGCTTAAAAAGTGGCTACAAAATGCTAAGATCGGGTTTTTTTTTCATTAGTAATGCTATTACTAGTTTCAACAGTCTTTAAATAGTCTAAAATCACTGAAATATGCCCTTCTAAAAAGAAGTAGTAGCGATTCTGCTCACCTCGCAAATTGTCGTTATCAAAATCCAATGTTTCTTCAGCAAGTGGTATGACGTCATTTTCACTCGGAACCTTGATTGGACTCGCCATGGATGTTGGGAATTTTCAGTATTTGAGGTTACTGATCGTTTTCAAGGCCTCTAGTAATTGAAAACAAAACTTCAATGTGAGGAAGTGGCTGGGCTAGTTCAACAACAGGTATTTACCACGAGTATCAATTGAGTAAGGCGCGACGGAGCTTTGGTGTCAGTTAGTGTCTGCGGCCGGTCTAATTTCTCTCAATTTTTCTTTTTTGTCACAGGGCTCCCGAGTGTGGCTCACAGTTTTAAATTAACATAGAACACCTACTCTTGGGTAGAACTGTTCTGTGTCCTTTGTCCATTATATAAAAAACGCAAACCGTCTTGACCCCGGGGAACTCTCTTTGGTCTACGCGCGGTGCTCTGCACGTGGAGCTTTGGACCTGTTGCCTCCTGACCATCAAGCACCACGGCCAGTAAGCAACGAAACGTGATGGCGACTGGGGACTTGGGAGGCACTGCAATCTTTCACTTTCATATCGTTGGCTTTCGTAGTACTTAGCTAGAATTCGGCCAAACTTCACGTGAAAGAATTAGGTGGATTTATGCAACCCCGACATTTCCTTGAGATTTCATGCAGTCTCTATATCAAACGTACCGTATTTACTCCATTGACTCAAAAAACTCAAAAAGCAAAAGCAGTAATAATCAAGTTTAAGCAAGCCTAAAAAAATTATTTTCCTTGTATTGTAACAATGTTTTAAAAACAGTATATTCGATGCTTAAAGGAATATAATAAAAACACGAGAATAATATACGGTAGTGCGGCTTAAACAAGGTTTGGAAATTTGCTTTCACTGATAACAATGTTTCTCAGTTTGAAGTTAGTATGCTTCAATGCTCTTTCAATACTCTTGCCCCTGCGCTTACCATATCACAGTTTGCAAGAAATTGGATTTTAAATGAACGCCGCCCTCGAATAAAACGCCTCACTCGAATCAAAAAAAATTTCAATAAACGCCGCGGGCGTTTAATTGAGTAAATACGGTATTCCTCTTTCTTTGTGAGATGTTGGAAGATAATACTTAAACTCCACGCAAGTAGTGTTTGTAGAAAAGAAAATATTCATAAGGGGAACCCCCGGATTTTACGACAACAAAGTACTTTCAAGTTTCGAGTATCGACCCGTGCTTTTACACTGTAACTACATTTCCAAGATATTTCATTGCGTGATAGTTGACTTTGCGAAAAAAAAATTACCGGAAAGCAGATAATGTAATTAATAATATACATGCAAAAATTTCACCATGTTGATTGGCTGAGAGCACGTCAATTAATCCCAAACAGTGCAGAAAGTTGTAATTGAGTGCAAAAAGTTGTAATTGAGTGCAAAATGTTGTAATTGAGTGCAAAAAGTTGTAATTAATTTGATTGACAGGAAAGTCGCGAAAGCTCAACAAAACAAAATGGCAGTCAGCTCAGGGGAAAGTGACGATATTTTAATACAGAGTTTGAAGGAGAATGCTACGAACAAAAACACCTTACAAAGCACCAATAACTGGATAAAAGTCTGGAAGTCTTGGGCTGATCAAAAGGGTTAAGACCAAAGCATTGAAAAGTACGAACCGGAGTCCCTGAACAAAATCCTCGAGCAGTTTTACGCAACAGTTCGTAAGAAGGACGGCGGCGATTACGAACCTGATAGCCTTCGTGTGATGGTTGCTGCTATCGACCGATACCTCACAGAGAAAGAATACAAATATTCCATCATTCGTGACAGAGAATTTAAAAGTTCAAAGCAAGTTCTTGAGGGAAAAGCCAGGCTACTTCGACAACAAGGCAAAGGCAAGCGGCCGAACAAGGCACGAAGTCTGACATCAACCGAGGAAAATGAGCTGTGGGAGAAAAGGAAGCTGGGAAAGGAAAGTCCGCAAATTCTTGTCCAAACAGTTTGGTAGCTCCTGACCCAGTATTTTGGCCTTCGAGGTCGCCAGGAACACCACAGCATGACGGTCGAGGATTTCTCCTTTGGACTGGATGAAAACAACACGGAATACGTGGAATTCATCGAAAGCCCGACCAAAACACGCCAGTCAGGACTATCCGCAAAGCCCAGAAGCTTCCTTCCAAAAATTTTTGCTACTGGAGGTGACAGATGTCCAGTTACAATCTTCAAAGAGTTTCTGTCGCGTCGTCCTCCAGAAATACGTACAACCGGTCCACTCTATCTGTCTTGTGTGTCAAATCCTTCCTCGCAAGTTTGGTACAAGCGACAGCCGATGGGAGTGAACAAGCTCAATGACATGATGAAGACCGTAATCAAAGACACGACACTGGAAGATTCATGGAAAACCTTTTCCAACCACAGCGCCAGGAAAACAGTAGTAAAGAAGCTGAAACCAGCAGGCCTAGAGCGAAGTTCAATCGTAAAAGTAACAGGGCACCGAAACGAGAAGTCACTGGACGACTATGACGAAGGAGATGAAAATGAGCAGCGACTGCTTTCCCACACCATCAGCAATGGCAGTTAGCTCGAGGACACAGCTCCACTTCGGTTCATACTAGCGCCAACAGCTCCAGCACTACTTTCAACCCGTCCTCGCTCGACGCTCGCGGCAACAACTTCAACCCAGCAGGTTTTGCCGTTCAGATTCCAAGTTACATCTCTGGCCAGAATGATCAGCGTCAGTCTTTTATGAACATGAACCATTTCCACCAGTGTCAAGTCACTTTCAACATCGGAAGCACAGCAGCTCCTGAAAAGCCACAGTCAGCTCCTCAGTGAAAAACCACAGTCAGCTGCACCGCGGCTTCATGGCGACGACAGTATTTCGCCTTAACTGATCATGATCAGTTCAGTTTTCGGAAAAACTTAACTTGTTGAACTTGTTAATCTCAATTAGAATTGACTGCAAACATTATCAACGTCTTTCAGTCCTCCTTTTTATGACGTTCTTAAATTGAAAACGCTTAAGAATGATAGAGGTTTCCAGAATATGATCTTTGTCGATTGAACGATATTTTTGGTCTGTACTTTTTTACAAGTTTTAGCATGTCAATCAAGGCTGTCATTTTTCGACCAATAATGTTAATGTAGGCGGGACCAGTGAGCCGTGACACGAAATAAACACGATCAAAGAAGAATCAGACTCAAATTTTTGCATGTATCTTATTAACAAGTAATCAAATGATTTTTCTCGTGCAATTTGGAATAAATAAGCACTCATAAATTTTTCAAAGACTACAAATTGCACTCGCCCTACGGGCTCGTGCAATTTTTTGTAATCTTTGAAAAATTTACTCGTGCTTATTTATTCCAAATTGCACTCGAAATCATTTGATTACCTATACTGATTTAGTTTATATCAATAGCCGTTCAGAACTTTATGTAAATCCGTTACACAGACACTTTTACATGACCCAAAGAAGGGGCCGCCATTTTGTTAACAATAGCAGACTGCTAGACTACTCTATCTACAGCAGAACAGGTAGCGAGCAGCGAAGCCAATCAGAGAATAGCATTAGTGTCGATTGAATTAGTGAAAGTTGTAGTAAAGGTGTATATTTTAAGTATGGGCAGACACAGCCAATGCCTTGAAAAGACGAAAACTGAACTATACACATCATTGGTTGCAAGGAAACCGCACCATATTAAAGCTGTTGGGCTCCTGATTGTCCTGAATTTGAGTAAGTCTGTTTTACCTTGAAGACTTTGAAAGTAACAGTAATATTCAGACTAATCGCGTGACGCCGGAATAATTGTTAAGATCACAAAGGGAAAGCCCCTGTTTCCAAGAAAACTGCTGGCGTATTTGATCTTATGTACTGCATGTGACGCCGATTCAGATAGATAAATACATAAACGAAACTTTTGGGTATACTTGGCATATAGAGGTTTAAAATCCTGAAGATACCCATAGTCTTATTTGCATAATTTGACAACCAAATCGTGTCACGCGATCGAAACTGAAAGTACTGTGGAAATTCCAATTTTCACATACACCTCCAAGGGAAACAAGATTTGGTTCAGTTGAAACATCGGATAGCTCGAGAAAACAGGGGTATACTCAGTGTCGGACTGATTAGAGGGAAACGAGGTTTTGATCGAAGAATCGATCGAGAGCTGCGAAAAATCGAGATATTAACAACTTCTCCGTTAGAGTATACTGCTTCATACTTCATACTTGCTGACTTTCGACAATGAAATAAACTGTTTGTATTCCTGTGTCCTTCAAATACAAATCAAAGGGGGCAAAATTTTGCTTTGGATGAGCTCTATTTGTTGGGCCAAAACTATTTTTTTATCTTCAGTTCATGCAGTGAATGTTCTATAGCTAGTACAACGCTAAATAACATTTCATATACAACAGGGATTTTCTTACTAACCTCTCGAAGTTTAGTGAACAGTAGAGTCGACCAAACACTATAACGCAGAAATTTTCATAAGCTGAAATCACTATGAACAACCCGACTAATATACATAAATCCTGTAAATCGTTCCCACAAAATCTTTCGATTTCTATTCTAAGGATAATTTTGTCTGATGACAGTAGTAATACTGGCTACCTTGTCACACAGCCAATCAGAATCGCGTATTTCAAACACGTGATCGCTCTCGACCAATCAGAAGGCTGGATTTAATTACCCCAGAAAAGTTGCGTCATACCAAGGGATACGTCATGTAAGACATCACGAAAAGTTCCCCAAAATTCCCCTTTCATGTAATAACACACCAAATGTCACTTTTCAACTCATTTTATTCTGACGTCATTCCTTATTTTACAAGCGGGACGTGTGTGACCTCCTATTGACGTCACGCCCATTTCGTTTTAAAAAGTTTAAAAAGTCATCAAAAAAATGGCCGGGAAAGCGGTGGTTCGGTGGCCATCGCCGGTACTGGAAAGAATTTCTCGCTTTCGGCCGATGAGTCCAGCCAGCCAGGTGGGACTCGAGGCTTACAGGTTCGAATCCTGTCGGGAACGTTTTTTTTGTGTGTGTGTGTTGACAGAGTGCGACGCACAAAATGTAGATATTTTATTAGATTTGTAAATAAAAAAAAAATTAACATATTTTGTTGTAATCTTCGCTTGAACAAATTGTTCATTTCCAATAAGGCATCAGGATAATCGTAGATATTGCGTAATAATGGCAGTTCTGCTGATCAACGTGGGTTTCATAATCTGCTTCTCCGTCATTTCCTCACAGCATACTTTTTGAAATACAATCCGTTGTAGCTGTAGTTTGTTGGAAAACGGACCACCATAAGAGAATTATTTCTCAGCCATAGTTGTCTTTGGAAAAACACGCGGTGGGTTGATTATGCAAAAATGTTCAACTTAAGACCAGGTATTGTGTAAAAAAAATGCAATTAAGAATTAGCCGTTTAGCTTTTGTCTTTTTTTAAAAAATAAGCGACTAAGACATTGAGTTCCCACTTCGAAAAAAGTCAAGGAATGTTGTTTCACAATCATCTAGAACATGTTGTATTTCTTTGCGAAATTGTAATTCTCTGTCTATCGACAAACCTATGAAATACCTGTCGCAAAAACTACAAGACGATTCAGAAAAAGAGGGCTCTTTTAACCCTGATTGGATAGTGAACAATCTATTATGTGTTCAACATACAAACGCGCTCTCCGTTCAATCATGATTTCATTCTTAAAAGTTTAGTTTGCTCGGAAAAAAGTCTTAACTCTCGCCAATATTCTTTGAAACATTGTCCAGCGTCAAAGGATAGCCAGTTTTATTGGACGTGTATTCTAACTGACTTATGCGGTTTTGGTTGACAAACTCATCCAACAAGAAAAGCTGAATCACTGCGACGATTCAACACCCAAGTCAAAACCAACATTCTTGCCTCATGATGGATAATGATGACGCATGGAAGTATTACCACGATGAAGCGGTGGAACAAATTGACCTGAATTCTATGTTGAACGCTACCGAAAGTATATGCAGTGCTCTCGGCTTCAAACTAGATAAATCATGGGAAGCGTACTGCCAAATATTGTCGTGAACCAGTATTTACCTCGCTTCTCTGGAACTTGATGTTGTCCAGCAGGGTGATGATCTTCAAAGCCGTATTTTATTCGCTCTATACTACCGACCAAATGGGCTCAAATGGAAGGATTTCAGTGATCAACAAGAAACAATAGAATGCCCTGATAGAGTCGAGAGAAAAGAAGAACACCAATGGACCTTGACATGATAATTAATGACATTCAAAATAAGCTTTGTTTCTAAAAGTAATAAAATTTCTTCATGATGACTAAAATTTTGAGTCGGTGTGTGTTTGTCTCTGTCTTTGTCAAGATGGGGCTTTCTCTGTCTTTGCTTCGGGTCGACTTTTCTCTGTATTGCATTGTATATAAAGAGTTTTCCTTTATGTGTAAAAAAATGTCATTGGTTCATAGTTTGTAAATAAATATGGTTTAATATACTAAACACGGTTTGTTGTCTGTCTAGCCGCGCGCGCGTGTGTGCGCCACGCGCGATTCAATCACCCGCGTAAAGGAAAAACACAGTGATATACAAGGCCCCTGTGGCCCCTGTGGCCCCTGTGGCCCGTTCTCAATAGTCATTAACTTCCTGTCAACCAATGGACCTTGACATGATAATTAATGACATTCAAAATAAGCTTTGTTTCTAAAAGTAATAAAATTTCTTCATGACTAAATTGTGAGTCAGTGCGTGTTTGTCTCTGTCTTAGTCAAGATGGGGCTTTCTCTGTCTTTGCTTCGGATCGACTTTTCTCTGTATCGCGCACAAGCCAAAACATTGAAAGTGTCTTCAAGTGAAATGGAAATGCTCCAACAAAAATTTAAAGATCTTCCGGGTTCGAGTCTAGAAAGGTTGAAAAAACTCCACTCTGAGGTCTTTTCAAAAGTAAACTGGGGACGATTGGTGGTATTTTTGAACTTCGCGGATCAGCTAGAATTAACCGAGGAGGAATGGGAACTACTATTTCACCTTCTTGTTCTCACTCTCACCCAGATTCGACATATAAAGGAGCACCAGGGAGAGAGAAGTCATTACATCTTTTACCGTCCAGGTAAACACTAGTGATGGGTTGCTGTCCGCCATCATCCACTTTTGGTTTTGAACACATTTTCAGTCGCATACGTTGTGTATTAGCTTGCTGCGGTGGTAAAGTGGTTGTACAAAACTCGGAATTTTGTGATGGAGAAAAAACTAGCCAGCATCTACCTCGACCCAAGTCAACCCGCAAGTTTCGGTGGTTTAGATGCTGTTTACAGAGCAGTCAAAGAGAAAGGAAAGAACAAGATATCGCGTAAACAAGTCCGAGATTGGTTGAGTCAGCAAGATGTTTATACTCTTCACAAACCCGCACGAAGACGCTACAAGAGAAGTCGAGTCATCGTTTTTGGAATAGATGAGCAATTTCAAGCGGATTTGGTCGACCTCCAAAATCTCAGTCGCTACAACAAGGGCTATAAATACTTACTGACTTGTACAGATATCTTCAGCAAGTACGCGTTTGTGTTACCGTTGAAGACAAAACAAGGTCAGGAACTGGTCAAAGCCTTTCAAAAGATCCTTTCTACTGGTCGCAAACCCATCAAACTGCAAACAGATCAAGGAACAGAGGTTCAAGAATCTCGTGTTCCAGATATTTCTGCGTGACAACAACATTGCCTTTTTCACTGTTAACTCTGGGCTCAAAGCCTCAGTGGTTGAGCGTTTTAACAGAACATTTAAGAATAAGATGTACAAATATTTCACGGCCAAAAACACTCTCACCTATATCAATGTATTACCCCAGTTAGTGTCTTCTTACAATAACACTTACCATCGAAGTATTAAAATGAAACCGAGTCAGGTGACTAAAGCGAATGAAGCTAAAGTGTGGGATACTTTGTATGGGGATGATGTTCAAAAGCCTGTGCGATATAAATTTCAAGTGGGAGATCGCGTCAGGATTAGCAAAGTGAAGAGAATGTTTGAAATATCTTACTTACCGAATTTTACGGAAGAAATTTTTACTGTTTACAAGCGAATGGCTCGTCAAGTACCCGTTTATAAACTAAAAGATGATGCAGGTGAAATCTTAGATGGAACATTTTATGAACCCGAATTACAGAAAATTATTAAGAACGATGATGTGTACCGCGTCGAGAAGATTTTGCGGAAGAGAAAGCGTAAAGGCGTAGTAGAGTATCTGGTGAGATGGAAAGGATACAAAGATCCAAAATTTGATTCTTGGGTTCAAGAAAGAGATATTTTGAAATTGTAATTTATGCATTTTTTGTGTAGTGAATAAAGGAAAATGAAATAATAAAATGAATGGTGTGTGGTTTCTAATAAATTAAGAATACCCAGATTAAAAAGTTCATTTCAACACAGGGTACGATGGAGGTAAAACAGTTTTATCTGCATCTCCCTAACAATAGCAGCCTCGATAAGTTTCCCAGCAACACATTAACTGAGTACCAAGTTGGTTTACCTCAGACCGTTAGCTTGAAGGGGGACTGGGAAGTAGTGTTAACGGAAATTCACTATCCTCACAGCTGGAATAATGTCCAAGAAAATTTTGGTAATCGATTCTACCTTCGGAACCAAGAATTGTCCGGAGTATGGGAAGCCCTAATTGTACCACCAGGTCATTATTCTTCCATTGGAGATATCTTATCAAAGATGAAAGAGCTGATCGAGAATGTAAAGCGTTTCAATGACGACGTGACATTTTCCTACGATGCGTTCACTAGGAAGGTGACTATTCACCTACAAAATAACGTAGAACTTTTCTTTGGTAACATTGGATACCTGCTGGGATTTTCACCAGAAGAAATTATTTGTAATACCTCTACCGCTGAAAGACAAGTGGATTTGGAATACGGCTTTCACGACCTTTTCATTTATTGGGATCTTATTCAGTCACAATATGTTGGAGATGCATTGGTACCTTTGCTTCGAATTGTTCCTGTAGAAGGAAAGGTTGGGGAGCGAGTCAGTAAATCATTTTTGCGCCCCCAATATTTACCTGTCGGCAGAAAGCAATTTGAAACTGTCGAAGTCAATATAAAGACAGACACAGGAGAGTCTGTACCATTTGAGTTTGGGAGAGTGTTGTTAACACTTCATTTTCGTCAAAGTGCACCTCAGTACTTTTAAAGATGAAAAAACTCCACACTCCAAATCACAAGTTGTACGAACAGTACTATGTTAATCAAGCCAAACAAAAAGGTGGGAGTTTACCAGCGTTTCACGGTGCTCGATTTCAGCATGGTTATGGACTAGGGTCCATATTCAGAGGTCTGTTTCGCTGGGCGATGCCTCACCTTCAACAGGGTGCTAAGGTGATTGGAAAAAAGGCTTTACAAACAAGTGTCAATGTCGTCCAAGATGTTCTTGATGGAGATAACATTAAAACAGCAGTCCACAAGCGCACAAAACAAGCCCTCGGTCTACCTTCTCAGAATTCATTGCAGACACAATCAGGAGCTGGCAAAAAAGCTATAAAAAGAAAAGGGCAAGGAACCAAAATCAGTTCGCCTCAAGGCAAGAAAGCAAAAACATCTCCGCAGCAAAAGAAGCCCAAAGAGAAATTTTCTTTCTGGAAGTAACTATGGCCTTTGTGCATCACGAGTCTCAGGAATGTACGAAATCAGAGTTGGATCTCTTTACGATTCCTGCAACACAAACCTCTATCTCCAAAGGGCAATGGATCGAGTACCACCCCATCAGTAACATCACGGACAGTGGTCCGATCGAATTTTATGTTTCGGGAACCGGAGATGAGTATTTGGACTTGGCACGTACTCAGTTATTTGTTAAAGCCAAGATCACAAAAGCAAATGGAACCGTCATAGACGCCGATACACAAGTAGGTCCCGTGAACCTGTTTTTACATTCCCTGTTTTCCCAAATGGACGTTTCCTTAAACGAGCGATTGATCTCTCCATCCACCAATACCTACCCTTATCGCGCCATGATCGAAACCTTGCTAAACTACGGAGAAGAAGCAAAAACAAGTCAACTTTCTATGGCCATGTTTTACAAAGATACCCCTGGAAAAATGGATGTTGCCAACCCTGTGGCTGCAGACGATGCTGTAAACAAGGGGTTAAAGGTTCGCTATGATTTCACTAAAGAAAGTCATATTGTGGATATGATGGGGCCCATTCATAGCGACATTTTCTTTCAAGACCGGTTGATGCTAAATGGAGTGAATTTAAGAATCAAACTGAACCGAGCCAAGAACTCGTTTTGTCTAATGTCATCAGCAGCCGCTCCAACTTTCAAGGTGGTAATCACAGAAGCAATCTTGTTCGTTCGCCGGGTGAAATTGGCCTCCTCTATTATACTTGGCCATGCGGCTGCACTAAAACACTCCAGCGCCAAGTACCCGGTTCGCCGAATCAATTGTAAAGTGCTGTCTATTCCAAGAGGATTTAGCAGTTTTAACCCCGACAACATCTTTTTGGGTCACATTCCTAAACGAATCGTGCTGGTCTTAGTGGATACTCAGGCATATAATGGAACTTACGGTACCAACCCGTTCAACTTCAAACACCACAATCTAACTCAAGTGGGTGTCTATGTGGACGGAGAGCAAATTCCTCGGAAACCCCCGTTCTTGAATTTTGACGAAGCTAGAGGTCAAAATGTAATAGCGGGCTATCAAAGCCTGTTCTCAGGCACTGGAAAGCTATCCCAAGATGCGGGTGATCAAATCAGTAGAAGCGATTATGGCTCTGGTTACACAGCATTCTGCTTTGACTTGTCCCCAGACCACTGCTCAGGTGACCATTTTGAGCTAATAAAGCAAGGTAACCTGCGCGCTGAGCTTCATTTCAAGGAACCACTGGCCAATACGGTTAACCTTATTGTGTACGCTGAATTCCAAAACGTGATTGAAATTGACGGGAACCGCAACGTGTTGTTCGACTACACAAACTAAAAATGGACACTATTCAACTGACCCTTATTTTGAGAAAGGATAAATTTACACGAGGTTTGTTTCAAGGCGTGTATCCCTCAGACCAGCTGCCTGCAAGTGTTTCACATTACCCAGCCCTGTTTATCGCCAATGTGGATACGAGTGACAAGCCAGGTTCGCATTGGGTGGCGTTTTATTTCACCAAGGAGCAAGAGGGAGAATTTTTCGATTCTTACGGATCACCACCCAGCAAATATTCAGGAACATTTAATGCCTTTTTAAACAACAATTCTAACCAGTGGACTTTTAATACTGTGACATTACAAAGCATCTATTCAAAAGTCTGCGGACATTACTGTTTGTATTTTGCTTTATATCGTAGTCGGCATATAAGTATGAGTGCTATTGTCCATCGTTTTTCTAAAAACACGAGTAAAAATGATAGTCTCGTAAAACGATTTATTGAAAAACATTTTCCTATAGGTTTTCCGAAATATCGTACTCATGTAAACAAGCAAAGAGCAAAAGCACAACACTAAGTTCAGTAAACAGACACCATGTAATTTCTTTTCAACATATTTTATTGAATTACAAAATAAAGTTTTGTGTTTCACAATAAAAAAAGTCTCTTGTCATGATTTATAATCGTAACCATCGAACAGCCTAAGGGCGAGGACTCTCGACTCTGCGCCTCTGCTTTTTAGCCAAAGCGACTTTCTGGGGTCTCCTCTCTCACTCTTGCTTTAAACTGTCTTATGGCACTCTGACGTTGGGGATTACGAACCAAGTTTTCGGGGACATTCATTCGCGCCAGGCCCCTCGCAAACACGGACCATCCCACTGGTTCAAATCCTTTTCGGTGACGCAATGTGTCGTTGACTAGGTCGACCACATGAGAACCTGGGATTGGTTTGTTTTCATACAACAGCTCTCCTTTATCATTCCAGTGCAACACATCCTGGTGTTTTATAATTTTATCCAACAACTGTCTAGCCCCAGCTTTGTAAATTTTGGGTACACTTTTCATGACCTCTTCCTCTACTGCTGTTGGAAGAGAATTATCTGGAGAAGCTTCCTCTGTAGATTCTGCGTTCTCAGCTGGTTTGGGGGTTTCCGTTGTTTTAGGGGTCGTTAACTTCACATGGAGAGGCTGGCCTTTCCGCTGATCGTAATAAGTCAAGTACCGTTGCAACACCTGATTGTAAAGCTTCGCCTTTTCCTCATCACCAAGTTGTTTACTTTCTAAAATATCCCCCATTTGGCTATCCAGATTTTTCAGAGTTTGTGTTACAGGTGGTGTCAATATCTGCTGGCGTTGCTGCAATCGTTCCAGAGTGTTTTCAGGAACGAGAACCATGCGTCTTGTATGATTCATCTTAACTAAGAAGCGAGCTCAACACTCGAAGAACGGGAGGTAGCAAATCACTTAAAAAGTTTCCTCCGTGTTGTATCAAGATTTGCTTTTTCTTGTTTAGCGGGGTACTCTTTTCAGCTAGAGAAGTCAAGGCTTTCTTGTGCTTAAGAAGTTTTCTCTTTGCCGGTTTACTGACAGGGACTGTTTCTTTAAGTACGTTGAATACACACTCACAAATGGTTTTTACTAAAGCGTCGTCGGCTGCTTTCAAAATTGCTTTACGTTGAGCTGGGTTACACTTGACGAGGAGCTTAAGAAAATCGTGGTTCTTTCTTAGTCGCTGGGCCATACTCAACTGATATCAATCACTACGACGGAGCTTTTTTATACCTTTCTGACATAGGCGAGCTGAGTCTCCCCAGGGAAAATGTTTGTGCGCAACCGGAAGTCGGTAGGTGTTTCCGGTTTGAGGTCGCATAACAGGTAGCCATAAGGGCGTTTTGTCGCATCCTGAAACGCTTCTTGCATGTATTTGACATGACCAGGAAACATCTGTTTCGCCAAGTGACTGACTTGACTGCTATCTCGCGGAGACTTGAACATCACCAAATAATGGCAATTCAAACTCATGTCTCTCAGTTCTTTTCCCCGGTGAAAAATATTTTGAAGAATGAAAATAACGCTTAAATTTCGGTGATGACAGCCTTAGTAAACAAATTGGTAATTCTTTGATCATTGCTAAGCTCTTGCATTAAATCGTCAATGACCACTAAATTCCGAATGGTTGGGTTTATCATAGATTCTAAATCACCAGGAACTCCTTCGACGAACGTGATGTTGGGAATAGTCCTTAGCATTTCATCGTAAGCCGGTTGGTATATTCCATAACACCAAATGATATTTTCAGGAGCTCCGTCTATTAATTCTTCTCCAGATTCCAACAGGTGTTTGACAAAATGACTTTTTCCACAACAAGTGGGGCCAGCTACAATAGCAGGAAAGGGGTGTTTCCACCTTGGGTCCATGTTGACAACTGACTGGTTCAACTGCGTTTGCTCTTATTTATAGCGAAATGGTCTTTGGCGGAGTATCTTTATCATAAACTCGAACCATGTTGGTATTTTGTAATTTAGCAAACTGGAGCCAATATTTTCTCTCTAAGTCAGACAGCTCGTGTACCTGAGCCAAATGGTTTGCTAATCGAACTAAAAATTTAGAGTGACATCCCGGTATCGGGCAATGACGACATACACGCTTACCCATGATGTTCACGGTACGAAGGTTCGATATCAACAGAATAAAACCGCTAATGACGCGAAGTTTATGACTATTGACAACGGGCCACAAGGACCTTGTATATCACTGTGTTTTTCCTTTACGCAGGTGATTGAATCGCGCGTGGCGCACACACGCTCGCGCGGCTAGACAGACAACAAACCGTGTTTAGTATATTAAACCATATTTATTTACAAACTATGAACCAATGACATTTTTTTACACATAAAGGAAAACTCTTTATATACAATGCGATACAGAGAAAAGTCGACTCGAAGCAAAGACAGAGAAAGCCCCATCTTGACAAAGACAGAGACAAACACACACCGACTCAAAATTTTAGTCATCATGAAGAAATTTTATTACTTTTAGAAACAAAGCTTATTTTGAATGTCATTAATTATCATGTCAAGGTCCATTGGTGTTCTTCTTTTTTCTCTCGACTCTATCAGGGCATTCTATTGTTTCTTGTTGATCACTGAAATCCTTCCATTTGAGCCCATTTGGTCGGTAGTATAGAGCGAATAAAATACGGCTTTGAAGATCATCACCCTGCTGGACAACATCAAGTTCCAGAGAAGCGAGGTAAATACTGGTTCACGACAATATTTGGCAGTACGCTTCCCATGATTTATCTAGTTTGAAGCCGAGAGCACTGCATATACTTTCGGTAGCGTTCAACATAGAATTCAGGTCAATTTGTTCCACCGCTTCATCGTGGTAATACTTCCATGCGTCATCATTATCCATCATGAGGCAAGAATGTTGGTTTTGACTTGGGTGTTGAATAGCACAATCGTCGCAGTGATTCAGCTTTTCTTGTTGGATGAGTTTGTCAACCAAAGCCGCATAAGTCAGTTAGAATACATGTCCAATAAAACTGGCTATCCTTTGACGCTGGACAATGTTTCAAAGAATATTGGTGAGAGTTAAGACTTTTTTCCGAGCAAACTAAACTTTTAAGAATGAAATCATGATTGAACGGAGAGTGCGTTTGTATGTTGAACACATAATAGATTGTTCACTATCCAATCAGGGTTAAAAGAGCCCTCTTTTTCTGAATCGTCTTGTAGTTTTTGCGACAGGTATTTCATAGGTTTGTCGATAGACAGAGAATTACAATTTCGCAAAGAAATACAACATGTTCTAGATGATTGTGAAACAACATTCCTTGACTTTTTTCGAAGTGGGAACTCAATGTCTTAGTCGCTTATTTTTTAAAAAAAGACAAAAGCTAAACGGCTAATTCTTAATTGCATTTTTTTTACACAATACCTGGTCTTAAGTTGAACATTTTTGCATAATCAACCCACCGCGTGTTTTTCCAAAGACAACTATGGCTGAGAAATAATTCTCTTATGGTGGTCCGTTTTCCAACAAACTACAGCTACAACGGATTGTATTTCAAAAAGTATGCTGTGAGGAAATGACGGAGAAGCAGATTATGAAACCCACGTTGATCAGCAGAACTGCCATTATTACGCAATATCTACGATTATCCTGATGCCTCATTGGAAATGAACAATTTGTTCAAGCGAAGATTACAACAAAATATGTTAATTTTTTTTTTATTTACAAATCTAATAAAATATCTACATTTTGTGCGTCGCACTCTGTCAACACACACACACAAAAAAAAACGTTCCCGACAGGATTCGAACCTGTAAGCCTCGAGTCCCACCTGGCTGGCTGGACTCATCGGCCGAAAGCGAGAAATTCTTTCCAGTACCGGCGATGGCCACCGAACCACCGCTTTCCCGGCCATTTTTTTGATGACTTTTTAAACTTTTTAAAACGAAATGGGCGTGACGTCAATAGGAGGTCACACACGTCCCGCTTGTAAAATAAGGAATGACGTCAGAATAAAATGAGTTGAAAAGTGACATTTGGTGTGTTATTACATGAAAGGGGAATGTTGGGGAACTTTTCGTGATGTCTTACATGACGTACCCCTTGGTATGACGCAACTTTTCTGGGGTAATTAAATCCAGCCTTCTGATTGGTCGAGAGCGATCACGTGTTTGAAATACGCGATTCTGATTGGCTGTGTGACAAGGTAGCCAGTATTACTACTGATGACTCTCGTCCCAAGAGCTTAACTGTTCCTCTTAGCCGGGGGGAACCTTTGGACGAGGAAATATTGGTGTCAATCTCTGACAGAAGCGCGGCCTAAGCCTCGACCCGGCGCAGCCTCGCTCGCACGCGAGGATCTGCCTTCGCGCGCCGCTGATACTGAGGCGTACCTTTCGCAATTTGCTCTGTGCGAGTTGTTTGTTTAGTCGTTTCAGACTGAACTATCATGATCAGAACTCTAGGTCGTCGGTCCAGTGACGTCTTCCTCGTTTACGTGCGTATCCTAAAGACGCATGCAGCTTTGCAGTTAGCTTTGTCACCATAGTTTGCGCTGTCAGGGCCATTTCACTACGATTTAAGCCATTTATAGTTTACCCTCGCGCCTGTAAATCGATCCTCTCTTCGCCCGCTCGCTATTCGCCGGGGAGTGCAGTGTCAGGCACCACGGGCCCGTTTCTCGAAAGCCCCGGAAAATTTTCGGGCCCGTTAAGACACTTAGTTCATCTGTATCTTAAAACGGATATGTGTATACGCCTGAAACCTCTTCTATGAAGGGAACCTCTGTTGATATTAAGGATGCGTGAATAAAATACAGTAAAAATAGCTCTGTTATCATAATGTTCGAGATTTTGCTATGTCTTTCCGGGATCGAAAGGTTTTCAGGGTTTTCAAGAAACGGGCCCCAGGTCCTTTACCACTCACGCGCTGCTTGGAGCCTTCCTCCCTACCAGCTCGAAAGTTTGGCGTTGGTTTCCATAGCAACCGTCGAAGCATCGATCTCTCAGTCAGTCCGTCGGGTCCCCGCCTTCGCTTGGCCGGGCCGGGCACTCCACTGGTGCCTTGCCCTTTGCATTCCTTTCCTTTCCAGTCCCTTTGCATTCTCTGTCAGTTACGTAGCGGAATAGACATTTTAATGTGTCTTTAAACATTCTCGCGCCCAGAACCACCTGGCACTTTAAGTCGGTGTGGCCTTGGCAGGAGGAATGAGTGGTCACATTGTTTGATTAGCTAGAGCTGGAGTGTAGCTGACCAAAATAGTTTCACGTTGGTTTTCCCCCGGAAAATTTCCACTGGCTAATCTTTTTCAGCATATACAGGGAGTTTTAATCAGACCAGACTTAACTTCTGTGGCACTCACATTTTCTTAACAGCAAATTATCCCCCTTAGCAAGTTTTAAACTTGCAGAAAGTCTGTTGATGTTGCGATCCAATGGTTTTAGCAAGAGTTCAACCACTGGGTATTTTTGGGAAGGAAACAACATTAAATGAGGGCAAATCTCTCTTTTGAGAATCTAGTTCATTAAATTATGTCTCCAGAGCCATCTTTTTCCGTCCCAAGACCTCGCGGGCTGAGAGGGGTAGGCGGCTCAGGGGGCAAGAATGGGGAAAAGAATTTCACAAACTCATCGCTGGTTTCACTTCTCAAAAATATCCTTTGTTGTTCTCTACCTAAAATAAACGTTCCATTACATCAGCTACAGACCTCGACAGTTTTTAACAAAATGAATGGTGAATGTCACTTCAAAGTCAGAATCTTACATAGGCTGTTTTAAACTTCCCTTGTTAAAATCTGCGCCAATTTGATCCCAACCAAAGCCATCGAACGCAAGCGCAAGCCAAACAGAGTAACAAGATGAAAATTTTCATCTACTTGAGACTCCGTTTGTGCCGGCGTTAAAACATGCTCAAAAGATGGTGGTGATGATGATGATGATGATGATGATGATGACGATACAGTCTCTATAACTTTTACAGCATTATTCAAAAGCCAATAGCATTAGATCTCGTGCAGCTTCATGCCATGTCGCTTTTATTAACAATTTTATTCCATAGGTCTCGAATGAGTTACCTACAAAAATTGGTTATGGTAATTTTGAAGAGTGCTCATCAGTTAGCTAATAAAACTCTTTTATCCAACCTAGACGGAGGATTTTACATACTGAAGGCGAAATACGGCGTAGATGTGGAGGATGGCTTGTTCCTAGGCCTTAGTATTTCGCCTCGGTCATTCGTCTCGAGTCACGTGGTCATCGAAATCAATTGAACCCGCGAGCGAAGGCCTGGGAGAAAGCCGTACCGGAACTAGGCAAGAGGTTTCTAACACACTATGTACATTGTATTGGTCTCTCTGTGCAGTATTAGATTATAATTCTATAATTCTAATAACTTTTTTGCATGTCAAATTATGAAAGACAACTGGTTAGAAATAGCCCAGAGAAAACGATGTCGTGTACAAGGAAAATGTTCTTAATGGCTTTAAACAAATTCTCTAAATATAATAAATTACGTGCTGTATTATTAGCTTACATCGTAAAAAGGAAAATGATGCGACACAGCAAATTGTGAATCCCTTTACGTTGAGTGCATTTACGATGGAGGCGAAGCTTGCTAGCATTGTTAACTTTCATTTTAAGTTAGAGTAAACTATAGCCGTGAACACTCTTCCTCCGTAAGCGAAATCCTTTCAAAACAAAAAAAAAAGACATTAAAATGAAGTTACAAAGACAGAGATGGTACTAAAACAAGTAACGGAGTATAGAGCGGTTTTCATTTGAGTATCGTAAAACCAAAACCAAAGTAATTACTCTAGCCAATCACAAAGGACACAGACAATACAGTGAACCAATTAAAACTCGAAGTAATTACATGTAGCTGACGCAAAGCGCGGGAAAATGCATGCGAGCGTGACACAATTGGTTTTGGTTTTCCTTCTGATTGGATAAAAAAGTGGCGCGAATCTTTTAAGCCAATCACGTAGCGTAGTAAACGCAAAACCAATTACCTTTCGACACTCAAATGAAAACCGCTCTAAAGGAAAACCTACTTACAGGCTAAATTTCAATTAAAATGGATATTCCCTTCAAGTGTGGCCCTTAAACTCAGGGAAAAGTGTGAAAAGTGGTTAAAAAACGTTCTCTGGTTAAAAAAATTAAAAGATAAGCTTTCGGCTATCAGTCTTTAGCCTTTCACGAATGGAAATATATACGAAAAGGAGTGCTAAAAAGTTATAAAACTAGAATACAAAAGAAGGGTGAAAAAGCTAAGAGATAAAAATGTCAATGACGTGTAATTAGACGTCATTTACATTTTGGATACAGTTCTATTTTTACTCGTGGAAACGTGTCAAAATATCTAACAAAAAAAGAAAGAAACATTGAAACTTAATTTTCGATTCGGCTCATGAATATGTTAATGATGGAGTTTGTTTTGAATTTAAACAGTTTGCTCTTCATGGCAGTTAGTGATGTATAGTTACGATGCCTCATTTCTTTCAGTGAAGTCTAGAGTGATATCATCTCCAATAAGTACAAAAGGCTCCCAGTATTTCACATCACTGTACTTGTCTGATTCTCTGAGGCTTTTTATGGCCAGGTTTAGGGACTCGCTTGCACTTCTCCCTTCCACCAGGTGATGGTAGAAACCTCTCATAAACTCCAGCATGGCCTCGTCATCGATCGCCCATAGTGAGACCAGAACAGAACGAGCACCAGCACCCATAAAGGCACGTGCAATACCGACCGCGCCTTCTGCTTTGATCTCTCCTCGGCCACTGTGACAACAACTCAAGACAACCAGTTTTGCTCGCATTTTAACATTCATCACATCTGCTATTGTTAAAATGTAATCTTCCTTCGTAGGAATCCGAGATGCTCGCTTTGGGTCCGGAGCAATTTCACCAGATTCCATGCGACCATGTGCTGCAATGTGAACCAAAGCGACGGAACTAAGTCCTTTCAACACCTCACGCTTCGTTGCTTTTTCTCCAGTAAGGGGTTTCACCTTAAGGATGTCACCTATCATCTCTACTTCCTGTTTGGCAAATTTGAGGTGTTGTAGAAGTTTCTTTCCCCTTCTGTCAGTAACTTCTGCAACCCATGGATCTCCAACAAGTAAGGCTCCGCTTACCTTTTGATGCAGTCTCGGACACTCAGAGATTATTTTCAAACTGGTCAGCGAGGGAATCAGTCGAATTCGAAATGATTCACAGAGAGGCTTAGAATTATCATCCAAGAAAGCAGCATAAGGAGCTGACCAAAGTGGACCATCTGGTACAATTAGTAGCTCATTATCTCGAACCAGGTCCGCAATCGGCCTACTTGCGATGTCATACAAGCTGCGTAACGAGTTCTCCTTTTGGAGCCATGAATGAGTGCTTTTCTTGTGTTTTTCTTCCAGCTGGGGGTCACTATCTCGAACTGCATCTAGAGAACGATTCTCGCACTTGACCCCAGAACGAACACCGATATTACTGTAGGCACCTTGTGTTAACGACTGAATAAATGATGGCGTATCATCCACTGCAAGGGGATCGTCAAGTAATGTCTGTTTAAACTGGACGCATCTGTCTTGTAAGATTACCCAGACATTGATGACGCCATTATCAATGGCCTGAAAAACTGTATTTGATGGAATATCGCGCAACTCACTATCTTTCATATCTTCTTGTTCACTGAACGAGGATGGCCCTGTTGGAATATCATACTTCGATGCCATCAGGTCAATTAAAGCTTGGGCTCTTCCTTGTGCAGCAGCAAACAAAGCTTCGACAATCTTATCTTGTCTTAACAAAATCCTCCAAAAACGAGTGTACGAAACATCGCATAAATCTCTGAAACCAATTTTCAGCTTGTCACAGTGAAGATCAATTCTAATTTCATTCAACAACCTAACACTTGACATGTAACATTCTTGTGCTTCAGGTAAATGACCCTGTGATTCGAAGTTTTCACCTAGCACATGGTATGATTTCGCTTCCCCAGTCTTGTTCCCTATTTTTTTGGCAATTCCAAGGTGTAGATTGTGGTGGTCTATTGACTTTTCAAAATCACCGAGGCTGTAAAAAGCATTTCCAAGATTGGCATACGTACTTCCTTCCAAATATTTGTCCCCGGTTTCTTTGGCAAGCGTGAGGCATGAGTTATAGTAGGTTAAAGCTTTTTCGTAATCACCGAGAATCTGGAAGGTATTGCCGATATGAGAATACGAATTTCCTTCCTCAATCTTGTTTCCAATTTCTTTGGAAATTTGAAGTGACAAGTTAAAGTAGTCCAGAGCTGTTTCGAAGTCATCATGAAGGCTATTTATAGCGATTCCAAGATTGCCATACGCCTGTCCTTCTAGATTCTTGTTCTCTACTTCCTTCGCAATTTTAAGACACAATTTGTGGTAGTCTACGGCTTTTTGAAAATCACCGAGACTGTAAAAAGTAGTGCCAAGATTGCCATAAGCACTCCCCTCCGCAACTTTGTCTCCCAATTCCTTGGCAAGGTCAAGTTGTTGGTTGTGGTAGCTTATGGCTGTCTGAAAATCACCAAGTCTGCTAAAAGCACTTCCAAGATTGCCATAAGCATGTCCCTCTCCGGCTTTGTCTCCTACGTCCCTGGCAATTTTGAGATGAAGGTTGTAGCACTCTATGGATTTTTTTAAATCACCGAGGCTTTCCAAGACAGCGCCAAGATTACCATAAACACTTCCCTCTCCAGCTTTGTCTCCCACTTCTTTGGCAATTTTAAGATGTTGATTGTGGTAGTTTATGGCTCTTTGCAAATCACCGAAACATCGAAAAGCATTACCAAGATTGCCGTAAATACTGCCCTCTGCACCTTTGTCTCCCGTTTCTTTAACAGTTTTAAGATGTATGTTGTAGTATTCTACCGCTTTTTCGACATTACCGAGACTTTGTAAAGCATTAGCAAGGTTGCTGTAAGCTGTTCCTTCCATAACTTTGTCTCTCAATTCCTTCGCAATTTTAAGGCATAATTCGTGGTACTCTGGAGCTGTTTGAAAATCACCTAAACTGTGATAGACATTTCCAAGATTGCCATAAACGTTTCCTTCGCCAACCTTGTCTCCCATTTCTTTGACAATTTTAAGATGTAGTTTGTGCTGCTCTTTCGCCTTTTTGTAATCACCGAGACTGTAAAAATAACGACCAAGATTGGCATACGAGGCACCTTCAGCAGCTTTGTCTCCAATTTCATGGACAATTTTCAGACATAGTTTCTGGTAACACATGGCTTTCTTGATATTTCCAAGTCCATGAAAAGTATTTCCGAGATTAGCATACGCGCTGGCTTCCATAGCCTTGTCTCCTACTTCCTTAGAAATCTTAAGACACGCATTGTAGTGGTCTGCTGCTGCTTGAAAATCTCCGAGATGGTGAAAAGTATTTCCAAGATTGCCATAAGCTTTTCCCTCGCCAACCTTGTCGCCCACTTCTTTGGTAATTCCAAGATGTAGGTGTTGGTGCGTTATGGAGTTTTTGAGGTCACCGAGACGGTAAAAAGCGTTTCCAAGATTGCCGTGAGCAATTCCTTTCGCAATCTTGCCTCCTGTTTCTTTGGTAACTTTAAGTTGTAAGTTGTAATAGTCGACGGCTTTCTGGACATCACCGAGTTTTTCCATAGCATTTCCTAGATTGCCATAGGCGCGTCCTTCCCCAGCCCTGTCTCCTATTTCTTTAGCAATTCCAAGACATTGATTTTGGTAGGCGACGGCTCGTTGAATGTCACCAAGACCGAGGAAAGCATTTGCAAGGTTACCATAGGTAGTTCCTTCCGCTGCCTTGTCTCCTACTTCTTTAGCAATTCGAAGACTTAGCATTTGTTAGTCGACAGCATTTTGAAAATTACCCAATCCGTGGAATGCGTTCCCTAGGCTTCCATAAGCAGAACCCTCGCCAGCACTTGTCTCCCACTTCTTTAGCAATTTTAAGACGAAGACTTTGATATTCTATTGCTGTTTTGAAATCACCGAGACTGGCAAAAGCGGTACCCAGATTGCCATACGCATTTCCTTCACCAACTTTATCTCCCACCTCCTTGGCAATTTTTAGATGCAAATTGTGATAATCCATGGCTTGTTTTAAATCACCGAGATTGTTGAAAGCACAGCCAAGATTGCAATATGCAGTTCCTTCTCCAGCTTTACTCCCCAATTCTTTGGCAATGTTAAGATGCAGTTTGTGGTAGTGTATGGCTTTATTAAAATCTCCGAGTCTATGAAAAGCAATGCCTAGATTGCAATAAGCATTGCCCTCCTCAGCCTTGTCTCCCTCTTCTTTGACATTTTTGAGATATATGTTGAGGCCGTCTATGGCGTTTTCGTAATTACCGAAACTGTATAAGACTCCACCAAGATTCGGGTAAGCATTTCCTTTGTCAGCCTTTTCTTTAATTTCTTGGGTAATTTGGATATGCATTTTTTGAGAATTCAAGCCGTCGTCATCTCTTGTAGAGGATTCCAAACTCTGTGCGGGCGTCTCTGTTTTTCTTTCTAATCCTCCTGCCTGATAGCAGACGCACGATCAGATTTTATTCATTTATTTGTTTATTTATTTATTTATCTTTTTTCTGCAATTGTGTTTGGTAATACTATATGGTTAGCTTTGCGAGCGGGCAACGGGGACTAACTTTAATTAATTTTGACTTCACGATTGGCTACCATAACGGACTTGTCTTGCTCTCTCAGGTTATCTGTTGGGTTGGGGTTGGCCGTTGCCTTTACCTCTGCCAGTTCGCTGTAGTCTTCCTAGTTCTCAAAACGTCAAAAGGCAAGCATTGTGCGATAATGCTCCAAAAAAGGAACAAATCACTACGTCTCTGTTCATGCATGAACACGTAAAAATCCTATTCTAACCAAGTCGATTTCACGCTTGGTCTATAACCATATATATGTTTTTATTAAAAATTATTCTAAGAGCCCGCGTTAGACATGAGATGACAGATATAGCCAACTCGGCGCGCACAACGCGCCTCTTTAGCTCAGTATAATCATCTCATATCTAACAAACGCAAGCGGAATAATTGTTTTATTAAAATCGCCCCCAAAATATAGAAAACTAAAGTAACACAAAAATGCCCCTGCCCCCCCTCCTCCCCTCCCAACTCCCAGAAATGGCGTACTCTTACCATATTTGTTGAGCATGGTATGATTGCTCCCATATTTACCATGATGGATAAACCAATGAAAACTCTTGAATTTGACGTAATATAGTTTAATGTTATGTACTATAACTTTGTTCATGTAAAAGAAAACACAAAAGGAACCGTTAGAAGTTACTCCTATCGAAGACGTTCCCTATACTCAATATATGCAATGGCTCTAACGAACTTTGAGGCTTAGTAGAGGGTGTAAATAGGGTTTAACTGATAGCTAAGAATTGGTTAAAATTGTTACTGCGGCGCATGCCAGCTGAGAATTAACGCGTTTTTTGACTTGTAGCTGAAATCTGTAAACGTTACTACCGCTGAGGAATGGGCTGAAATTTTGAATGGAAGCCTAAAAATGGCGAAAATGTTACTGGTAACTGTGGTTTTAAATTTATTCTCATCCAGGTTCTCTTAGAAGACACTCAATGCTATTACTGACGTTTACAAACTAAATCTTGCTAATGAAGTGGAATTATATGCCTTCGATTCCGCGCCATAAGTGTTGGATCATAAGAGCTTTATAAAATTACATTACAAGCTCTTCTGATCAAACAAGGATGAACGCCGGAACCTCTTTTAGACGTTTAGATAGTTGGGGTGCAGCTCAAAAAACAAGGCGAGCGAAAAAAAGGAGAGAAGAAGGCACAAGTCCCTCCTCGAGTCTCTCCTTTTTTCGCGTTACGCCCCATCTAACTGAACGCCTGGACAAGCACACAACTAGAATAGCGCACAAATTTGCAGTGTTTACGAAACATCAGAAAAGGGTTTTTCTAACTAAAAGAAAAACATTAATGGCCACAAAGGAATCGACTTTCACCTTGCATTGATAAATTTGATCACAAGAGCGATGACAATAGGTGCAAGATACGAGAAACTGTCAAAAGATTATCAAAAAGTATTAAGATGTTTCGCTTTAAAAGATAACCCTACCTCTTACAATCGCCTTGAGGTAAGCTGGCTGCAGCTGAGTCGCAGCCTTTGCGTCCGTTAGTGAATAGAAATAATTACCTGCAGGAAGCATGATTGCTCATTAACTATTATTCCAAAAGAACTGAAAGTTATAGAAACAAATTAACAAAAGCGGCTCCACCGACCAACGATAGATAACAAGTTACATGTAATCAACAATTGTTCTGTAATTTCATTATCATGAATTCGAAAGTTTAGAAACAAACCCAAATCGATCCGTTTTGTTCATTGACGTTGTCGTTGCTTTCTGACGGTCTTTCACTTTCCAAGAATTGCGAAAGCCACACCCAGTAAAGTTTTTAAAGCAAAAACATGATCATGGGATATCACTCGCACAGTTACGAAATTTGCATTACGCTTATCTATCAAGGTATCCAAGCTGATCTTCAGTTCAATGTGTTTAAAACGAAAAAAGCTTTCGAGCTTGTGACCAGCATCAAATCAAGAATGAACAATGCCTAGTATTTTAAGCCTGAACGACGGCTCTGATGGTTCAGCGTTCTAAAGATAAGAAATTACAAAACAAAATTGATTCTCACCCATGTAAAAATAAGCAGTAGCCCATGTATTTTAAAGTACATTAGTATGACTGATTCTTTCATCATGGTAGGTTTCTATCCAAACAGCTGTAAATGTTAGTCCTTTTTTGAATAAATCTGTACTTATAGCATCTTACTTGTACTTTCATCTATTTGTTGTGGTAATTTCATTAAATGGGCCCTTTTAGCATGTAGAGAAAAAGTTTCATTTATTTTTTTTTACACTGTATACGTTACGTGTTCTGTCTTTTTCCCTAGGTAAAATTGTGCACTGATCTTCAAGCTCTTTACAGTTCCATGCTTGTTGGATTGTGTCCCTGCCATGGTTTCACTAAAGTACCTGGACATACTGGAGGGTTTTACCATCTGGTTTGCCGTCACGGTGTAAGTGTATATTATGTGCTGTCTTTTTTGTCTCTTTTTAAAGGATGTTCAACAGTTCTATTCCATTTCTTCTTCAGTGTACAGTTGCCTCAAAGTTTTTAACCCTTACGGAGTCCGTACGTGATGCCGCAGATTTATATATGTCCCTGAAGTATCCACCAATTGTTTTCATTTGTGATTCTCCATGTGGAATGGTGCGTCATCTTGAATGTAGAGCGCCAGATCTATGTGAAGCACTTTGGGGAGAAAATTCAGGATGTTTTGAAAAACCTGAGTATGCCAAGAAACCTGCAGAGGTATGTATTAATTTGTGTAACTAACTCATGTTATGGTTCTTTTGAGTTGACCTGTACTATTTATCATAACATGTATCTTGTGCCAAATGGAGACAATGAAGGCCTGAAAGTGCCAAACTTCGGATAATCACCCTGTTAGAGGTGAAGAAATCACATAAATATCTGTCGTGAAATAAACAACTTTGACTGTAAATATCCCTCTATTCTTGAATTTCATCGTTGTTTATTTGTTTATCTAAGTATAAAGGATTCTGCAGTTATATAAAAGTGACATGTTGTTTTCATCCCTTGAATTGAATAGTCCCTCCCATCTGACATATAGCAACAATTGCAAACTGGAGTGCTATGTTTGATAATAAACCATATTTTTTTCCAGGAAGTTGATTGCCCTTTTATTGTGCCAGCCGAGTACCGTTCCAGTTATGTCCCAGAGGTTCCTGATGATGTTGGTGAAATGGAGCATCCAGTTTCACGTTGCTCTCAAAGATTTATCTTGGGGAACAGATTCCACAATTCCACCAAGCCACATAAGTCACCTCTTTGCTTGTTTCACAATATTGATTCGTGCAAACAGAGCACTACCATTAAAACAAGCTACCAAGAGTCAGAAAATTTTAGAAAGAACATGAAGCGTCTGCGCAGCTCCACTCTTCAAGGCTTTGGACTTCATTTTTGTTTTAATTTCCTGATGGACTACTACCAGAATGAGGCAATTGTGATGCAGCAAGAATGCCGTTTGTCCAAGCAACTAAAAGAGGGTCAGCAGTTAGTGAGAGACAAATACCATAGATTTACTGTAGTGAACAATGGTCCTTCATAAAGCGCAAAGGAGTTAATTGTTTTTTTGAGCTGATATTTGTTAATTTCATGAACCCTTATTCTCATGCTCTAAGTTTATACTCCTTTCAATAGTTGATGGGTTCTTAAAGTTCTCTGATAAAAAACGGTACATGCTTGCAAGGACCACCGAGACAAAATAGAAGCACAGGATCATGTAGTGAAGGATCTGATCAGCAACAAATTGTTCAACCAATAAACTTAAAAAGCAAGGCTGAATTTACGGCCAGGAAAATATATTTCCCTGCCTGTAAATTCAGCCTTGCTTTCTTAGTTTATTAGTTCGAATTCAGTTTGAGTGAACATAGTACATATTGACATAGTTCAGGGGCACCCAACGGCAATTTTCGGGAAAATATCTGTTCGGAAGACGATTTGAGATCTAGAATTTTCGGAGCATTTGTTGTAAAATTTCTTGCTTGCCTGCCTCTCCTAGGATTTTCGAACATCTACAAAATGGTATAATTACCCATTTTTAACGAATTTTGGCCCTAAAAAAGGCCACCTAGAATTTTCGGGAGCCTTTTCCTGGCTGAAATTTTCGAGAAGGTAAGTTTTTATCCCTATAATTTTCGGATAACTAGACTTTCAGCTAGGAAATCCGAACAGATGAAAGATTTTAGGGGATAAAAATATGCCTATATCTACCGTTTGAATACTAAAATACGTTCAACAATGCTATGTTAAGTGGTTTTGAACTATATTCTCGTTGGGTGCCCCTGATAGTTCCCTGTCACAGTGTTTCATAAGCTGTGTCAATGGTGCACTCCATTGTAGACTTAGTTTTCAACTCATGCCTTGCCTATGAACAATAAATGAGTTGCCGTGTCGAGGGGAAAATGTGGTTGCTTGTTCAGCATTCAATTCACGAGTGTGCTCGTAAAGCACTTTGATTAGATATTAAGGCTAAAGTGTTTAGCAATTTTCCATGTATACAGTGTACTTCTTGGTAGTAAAAACACTAGAGACTTTGTCCACCAGTAATCTGTTACAGCAAAGAATGTTAGCTTTGTCCGACATAACATAACAAAACTGTTCCATTCCCGCACAATTTGACTGCTGGACAGTTTTGGTTTTAGGTCAAATTTCCCATTCGTCATCATAATCCATTTTCAAAGTTGCATTATATCTTGCCAGATTTTTTAACCAACATCTGTTTGAAATACTGTGAGTAGTGTGAAATGTGCGTTTGGAAACTGTGAATTTCTGTGAACACATCAGTGGCCTTTGACTTGCGAGTACACACTCGCATCTGCTGTGCTGGCCAAAAACGGCAAAATTGTATCAGCATCACGTTTGGGTCTCCCTCACTAGAGGTTACAAGAGTCAAATGTTTGCTCCAGAAATAGTCATGATCAGTTATGAGAGGCTGCATGTAGGATTGCAAGTATTAAGTGTCGTAGTACATGTTAGGTCCACATAGTTTTGTTTACAATAATAATGTTTACTATTTCACAGTAGGATTTTTTAGAATGATAACAGATGATTTCTTTAGTTGCATTGCATTGCATCATAGCACATGCGCAATTCAAACTTTGATGCTGCAAAATGCTTTTCTTAAGGGCCATTTTCTCGATAATAATGATGTTTTTGACATGACACAATTTGAGGTTCAACTGTACTTCCCCTTTCAGTAATAAAGTAAATAAGTGCACTTTGAATTAAAACACCCACAACTCAATGCAACTCAGTAAGCAAGTATTTATTTTTCAATTACTTGTTGGACACAAAAGTAATCTTGAATTATTGTACTGGACGTGTCGATGAACATGTGGTGCAAAACCAGTCAGCACGTGGTGCTCTTTTAACACCTGCACATACCCTGGAATTAAAAAAAAAACATCACTTTTAAGCTGGCAATAATTACTGTCTTTGTGCGGCTCTTATAATGTGAACAGTTTTACACCCATAAAAAGTAGATGTCGTTGTATTACGACTCATTAGGACAGTCACTTACAAAACAATAGCCTAAAGTAAATTGTTACTGCAAGGTATACCCAAATACAGTAAATCCTTATTTCACATTGCTCCTATACATAAATTTAAAAAAAAAGGACTGTAACATATTGCCGATAGCTCCTGTTAAACTAGAAAGCAAAAATATAAAACTTTTATATTTATTTCTGGGATAAATCAGTCTTAACATCATGGTACTGTTCACGCCTCTGTCAAAATTTTAAAAATGCGATTTCCAATTTTTTGGAAATGTTCATACTGTTCCATGTTGGGTGAGAAAATGTCACAGAAGCTTTCCAGTTTTTCAATTCTTTTCCTTTGTTTAAAATGTTGCAGTGTAAATACTTACATGTGGAACCAGTGCTGGCATTCTGTGCATTGTATCCAATCAATTTTGCCTTTTCCTTTACGTGCAGTGGGTGGCGAGGTGTCCTGGCACATGTGGCATTTATCATCATCTGTACCTGCTACATACACACAACAGTATTATTATCATAGTGGTGCGCTTAAGCAGTGACCATGGACATTAACTCTTGCCTTTGCATGGGCAACTAGTAATCTGATCTTCGCATTAATAAAAATTATTTATCTTGGGTATCCTGACTTCCAAACTTTGATTGGGTTCTCAGAGAATATCCAAGCTTGTATCGATAAATAATATATTTTTTTATACATTTCAGTCTCTTTTCTTAGGTATTGCCTTTTACAACAAGATAGAGATGCACGTAAAATCAAATGGAAACTAAAAAAATACCAGAATTCCAGAAAAAGTCAGCATCATAAAACTAAAACATGGTCAACATATTCTGACAGGTGACATTAAACAAAAATACCCTATTAGAACCTCAAAAACAGAAAATTTTGATGAGGTGACAGTGGTGTCAGGAATACTCTGTCCACTTAAACACCTAAATTACTACTCTGTAGAGGTCTAGTGTGTATTTATCATGGAGTATGCACCTTAAAAAATTTTCATTGAGTGCTAATGATGCAAGCCTGGGGGATCTGGGGGCTAAAACTACTTACTGCATCAAAGGTTGATCCAGGATACATTAACAGCCTTATCTCACTGGGTAGATGTCAGGGATTGTGTGGTGGAGGGCTTTTCACTCTATGTCATACTTGCCAAAATGAATGTAATTATCGAAAATGCTTTTTGCCACTTAAGATACTTCTAAACCACTTTTTTTGTGCTTTCCAAGGGTATGCACATATTTGTTATATGTATATGGTGACTGTGCCCCTGTACTGTATGTCGCTGGTATGTAAATTGCATTTCACCTTTCTGCTCCTTTGGAAAAATTCCAGAGATATGTCCAGAAATGCACGCATTGGCGAAAATGGCAGAAATGGCAATTAATTGCCAAAATCGCCAAACTATAAACAAAAATTCAAATGAGATGGCAAAGGGGCCCTTTGCCAAGTGGCGATTTTGGCAAAAATGGCGTATTTGGTGAAAATGGCAGAAATGGTAATTAATCGCCAAAATCGCCAAACTATATAATAAACAAAAATTCAAATGAGATGGCAAAGGGGCCCTTTGGAAAGTGGCGATTATGGCGAAAATGGCGTATTTGGCGAAAATGGCAGAAATGGCGATTAATCACCAAAATCGCCAAACTATAAACAAAAATTCAAATGAGATGGCAAAGGGGCCCTTTGGAAAGTGGCGATTTCGGCGAAAATGGCATATTTGGCGAAAATGGCAGAAATGGCGCTTAATCGCCAAAATCGTCAAACTGTAAACAAAAATTCAAATGAGATGGCAAAGGGGCCCTTTGGAAAGTGGCGATTTTGGCGAAAATGGCGTATTTGGCGAAAATGGCAGAAATGGCAATTAATCGCCAAAATCGCCAAACTATAAACAAAAATTCAAATGAGATGGCAAAGGGGCCCTTTGGAAAGTGGCGATTTTGGCGAAAATGGCGTATTTGGCGAAAATGGCAGAAATGGCAATTAATCGCCAAAATCACCAAACTATAGACAAAAATTCAAATGACATGGCAAAGGGGCCCTTTGGAAAGTGGGGATTTCGGCGAAAATGGCATATTTGGCGAAAATGGCAGAAATGGCAATTAATCGCCAAAATCGCAAAACTATAAACAAAAATTCAAACACGATGGCAAAGGGGCCCTTTGCAAAGTGGCAATATTAGCGAAATTGGCGTATTTGACGAAAATGGCAGAAATGGCGCTTAATCGCCAAAATTGCCAAACTGTCAACAAAAATTCAAATGAGATGGGAAAGGGGCCCTTTGGAAAGTGGCGATTTCGGCGAAAATGCCAGAAATGGCAATTAATCGCCAAACTGTAAACAAAAATTCAAACACGATGGCAAAGGGGCCCTTTGGAAAGTGGCGATATTGGCGAAAATGGCGTATTTGGCAAAAATGGCGATTAATCGCCGAAATCACCAAATTATAAACAAAAATGCAAATGAGATGCCAAAGGGGCCCTTTGGAAAGTGATGATTTTGGCGAAAATGGCGTGCACTAATCTTGTATCTTTTCGTCAGCCACAAATAAAAAAAAAAATTAGAGTGCATGTTGGCCTCATTCTTAAAATGTGTTTTGGCAGAAATGGCAATTACTCGATGAAATACCTAATTTGTCAAGACAAATTGAAATGACATAGCAAAGGGTCCCTTTTGAAATGGCTATTAATTGCCAAATAGTTAACCACATATTAATATAAAAATGTTTCCAACAGTATAATTGTATACTAATAATGACAAAGCTACTGTAACTTAAGTGTCATTAATCTGTTTTTAATGCTTTTACCTTTAATTGATAACCTCTTGGGATTTGAAATTCGTCCCAAACAAGAGTGTTTGGTCGGGAATTACCACTTATAACCAATTTCTTGCTCAATTCAAATCGAATGGCCAACGAGTTGTATTCGATTATCAGTAAATGGTAATCTTCGTAATGTTCATGGCAACTTTCTTACCAAAAACTCCAAGATAGGTATCCTTAATTTTCCAGGCTTGTAGGCATTGTTTGAATAGCGACAGTTCAACATTATATGT